CGGACTTGATCGTACGATTCTGGGAAGACGAACTTTCGAAGCGCGAAATCATTTTTCGCGATGATGCTATCGTAACTCTTCCAATAACGACATAAACATCACAACTGGCGTACGAGCGCCGTCCAAAATTAGATGCTTGTGAAATTATCGAAAGTGTTAAAATCGTCACCTCTCGCTTCGACATGATCGATGTAACTGCGTCCGTAGTTATGCGAGTGCACGAGCTGGAACACGCTCTTCTCTCGAACCACTTGTGCACTCGCAGCTGCATCGCAGATGCTTCATTTTGATGTATGGGCGGATCCCTGGACTTTTGCATTGGAAGCAAGCAGTTGCGCTCGCAGTCGAAGTCGCAGTTCACAGTGAAAGTCGGTTGCGACGTTTGCGAGTGAAATTTTAGTCGTACAAATGTCATCCGAGTACAGAGATAATTAACTATTTGTTTAAAATCCTTTGCTTCTTTTATGTGCCGTATATTTGATACTGTGTTGTATTAGTAATATCAATTATTGAAAATTAATACAAAAGTTTGTTTTCAAATTAATTCTATATTTATCAGAATTTATATTGTTTTGTGTAATGTGAAATATTTAGAATTACGGATATAAAAACATGAAGTTTATATAAAGTCCAGGGAATCGCAGATATTTATTTATATTAAACTAGATTACTAGATTTAGTTAAGAATATATAACGAATTTTAGAGCGAATGCAAGCGTGGTATTCGCTATATGTGATCAAAATGTTCTTACGTGTTGTTAATTTGACTTTCGTTTTGAGTTACATTTTGCAGAGAATCTTTTTACATTTCCTACTATTTAAATACACGAATTATAAAATATTACAATTTGATTCGAGAAAAATATCAATATTTATTCGTCTTTTTTCTAAAAAGATATATAATCTAAAATTTAAAAGCACACATAAGAACAGTTGAGCTGCTTAGAATGTAAAGTTTAAATTATACAAAAAAAAATTAATCTATGAATTCTAACAAAGAAGTTAAGAACCTTTTGAAGTAATGCTAATGCAAAACTGATTTTTCTTGCATATTTTAAAACGCGATAAATGTTACGTATCTCACGTTCTAAGTAGCTCTCAAACCGATTTGATACGAAGCACTCGAAGCGTGTTAGTTCACGCTAAACAGACAGACAGACAGACACTTTGATGATCTACACGTAATATTCAGCCGTGGTAGACGACAGCCAGAAGGCATACCAGGATGCCTTTGAAATCAGCAAGTCAAAGATGCAGCCTACCCACCCGATCAGGCTAGGTCTCGCCCTCAACTTTTCTGTCTTCTATTACGAGATTCTCAACTCGCCAGACAAGGCCTGTCAGCTGGCCAAACAGGTACATGATCAGAGGACTAATCGTTACCCTTCTAGCAATTCTATAGGAGAAGAGAGAGCTTGGTGACGGTGATGGTGATGATGGTACACAGTGGTGATAAAAGCTATCTTATGCGAACCCAACTTGCCTTCTACTTCCGTTCTACAAAGATCGACATCTTCTAATTCACTAGTTCGGAATACGTCATCATAAATGATCTTGCACAGCAACTGTCCTGAGATCAGACTATTATAATCGTAAACGTCATATTATAGTCGTATATATATGAAAACTTGCTTATAATGTAAAGTATTAGAGATAAAGAAACTGAAACAGACTGCACATGCATAAATAAGTGCATAAATAAATATATTTTTTAATTTGTTAAATACAATCAAATTAAAAATTTTAATACGACAGTAGTATTAATGTGATCGTAGATTTTATATTATTATCAATTGTGTATGAAAAATAATTATAAGTAACGATCTATGTGTTGTATTACATGTAGCAATGTCGAGTTTTAACAATTGAGTATTATTTTAAGAGTTATGCGCAGTTTAGTGATCAATTTGCATCTTTAAACGCATTCTTAAATAGCACACGTATATTGTCTGATATGTGAAAAAAAATACTTGTATATTTAAATTTTTAATAAAACGCCGTCAGCGAGTTACTCGCTTGATTCGCACGCCTGATGACTCAGAACGGAGATGCGACGGGGTCGTGGAAGATCGGTGACGATTTATGGACACGGCTTATTCAAGGCCAATGGAGTTCCGAGTGAAACGACACGCGCGGTCTTTGTAGGACAGACGCGAGGCGAATTGTTGAAATTCGCTTGCGTTTTTCCCTCCTTTTATTTAGCTTTCATTCGTCTTTCCTCCCCACACGTTCCTCTCCCGTCTGACGACAAAGACAGTTTATTACTTTGATGGTCACGGCGCAAAAATGAGGTCGTGGAAGGTGTAATCTGAATAGAGACTGATTTGCATTTGCAGCGGTAGTGGAGGATTCGCAGAAGGCGTACCAAGAGGCGTTTGACATTGCGAAGGCGAAAATGCAGCCTACGCACCCGATCAGGCTTGGCCTTGCCCTCAACTTCTCTGTTTTTTATTACGAAATTATCAATTCCCCGGCTAGAGCCTGTCACTTAGCCAAACAGGTTAGAGAGAGGAGGATTCTGAAGGGTTTTTTTTTTTTTTATCTTGATCCTATTATGTAATAGTTGTCTCTACTAAAGCCTTTGTTATGTGCATTTGCGCGTTTATCATCAAAGGCTGCTGATAAGAAACACGAGCGAGAATTGTATATTCTGATTAAAACATACCGATAAAATCTCAGTCTTTCTTTGTTTTAGATAAGAAAAAAATAAAACATTATGAATTTTTTTTTTGTTTTTGTTGAATTAGACATTTAAGTCATAGAGATCAGCAGTCTTATTAGATAAAATCAATAGTTTTTACTGTGTGACAATGAAAACTTATTATTTACCCTTTAATAGCCAATCCCTTAATCTTGTCTAATGCTAAAATTTAAGTTTTGTGTGAGTGTTGTGCCGTTTAACTCTTTTCTTTTAAATAACTAATGCATAATTAGTGTTTCCACTGTGCCACATTAACCATGCCGCATCACAATCTCTAGTTAATATTTAATATTAATTAACAATTCGATTTGTGTATGATTTATAGATAACATTTATATAATTGTCATACTCATACATAAACTATTTGTCTTTTATATCAATTCAAAAATAAATATATAATTTTAAATGCTATAATTTTATCATTTGATTTGAAATTTTATTTTTTTAATAAAATATCGAGATTTTTTTGCAAAGTACATAAATGTTAATAAAAAAAAAATTGCAAAAATTGGATAAAAAGCATTCTGACGCATTCGTTACTTTTGCAGGCGTTCGACGATGCGATCGCGGAGCTGGACACACTTAATGAAGATAGCTACAAAGATTCCACATTGATCATGCAGCTGCTGCGCGATAACCTCACTTTGTGGACCAGTGACACGCAGGGCGACGGGGACGAGCCACAGGAGGGCGGCGACAACTAACCTTCCTAAGCTTTAAGTCCTTTCTAAACCTAATAAGAACATCCTATTCTCTATCGTCCCCCATCCCTCTGAAGTGCTCACCCATATTGTCCATCCACCCGGATCCATCCATCCATCCATGTCCACCTGACCTCTCCGTCCC